TTTCCTCCTGAAAGGAGTATATGCAGGGATGAGGAGCAGGAAAAAGATGGGATGAGGAGCAGAGAAAGATGGTCAGACAGAGCCAGATGCTCTCAGGTTGGAGTAGACCCAGTCCAGCATGTTTGTCCCTCTGGTGGCTGAACATACTGTGAATATTTTTGGGCACAGACCTTGAGCATGCTTGGCTAAAATCTCCAGTGACAATATGAACTCTATCAGGCTAGATTTGCTGCAGTCTGCTGACCATGTTGTGTAGATATTTGAGAGCTAAGCTAATGTTGGCATCTGGGATATAGACAGAGGTGATGATTACCATTGTTAGCACTCTGGGCAGATAAAAATGTCTACAAGCAACAGACATTGCTTTGATATTTGAAGAGCCATGTGTGTTTATTATCTTGTTGTTTGTGTACCAGTCATGAATATACTGTATACACACAGTTTTTTTGTATTAACAGTCCAGTTCAGAAAAAAAAAATCTAAAAATCAACAGAAATTTTTGCTTTAATTTCCTAATTTTGTTTTGCCAACCATGTCAACTCTATTTCATAGATCAGTGTTTCCCAAGGTTGGGGTTAGGACCCAAAGTGGGGTCCCGAAAAATCAAGGTGGGGTCCTGAAAAGATTTTTGGAATTAATGACATTTTTGCCTTAGTAGTTACAAAGGAGTGAGGTTAATGTATTTAAAATGGATAAATGTAGTATAAAAATATTGTTACTATTACTATTGTTTAGTTGACCTGATACAAATGTTTATCATCCAAAAATAGTTGGGGGCACTTGTCTCTGCTACTGTTATTTTGTGGGTCAAAAGCTGAAAAGTTTGGGAACCACTGCACTTTGGTTCTCAAAGTTGGGCTTGGAATGGGTCATGAAGTACCCTGGATAATCTCCAGAAATCAATTTAAAGGGTAATAAAGTAATTGCTGATGTAATATTTTCCCTATAACTATTACAAAAACACAAAATAAGTATAAATAAGTATTTATATTTGTGTACAAGCTGTTTAGATTGTCAAAAAGCCTGTGTTTTTAGGGTTATTAACAAAGTTTGTGTACTCAGACCAGTAATATTTGGGGTCACAAGTTTTTGCCATGGATATTTTGTGGGTCACAAGAGAAAAAGTTTGGGAACCACTGTCATAGATTACAATGAGAGTCAATCAAGTTGTCTTGACAAGTGTTGAGGAATAACACTGCGCATGTGAAAGGAAGCTGCATAAATTATGTTGTAGCTCCAAGAGGTATGGAATTGTGAAAAAAAGCTGTTGTTTGTTAAAAAAATACAGTTTCAGACTACCACAATAATGACTCAATAAGGTTTTAAAAAGCATTGTGTAAAAAATACATATTTTTCTTTGTTTAAAATACAATATTTTGTTGGCCTGCTCTTAACCCTTATTACAATCTGAAACACTTCCTCAACATAGGAACTTATACACCCATACTGTATTTTGCATCAAATCTTAATGAGTTGACTGGAGTTTTCGTGCTAATATGACCTTAGCTTTCTGATTTGTAGAGTGATACCATTGTTTTACAGAGTCCTGCAATTATCTGGTCCAAAACTCAGGTGTTTTCACATACGTTAAAAATGATGATTGAACAATTGACTCTTGTAGAAACAGATGTTTTGCTTTCAAATTGTACTTTGTGCAAAATGTGAGTAATCATCACACACAATGTACTAACGCTGCCTGTTTTTCAAAAATTCTTCTATCCATATTCTTTTCACTGTGATGTAGTCAAATAGTTACAAGACCTGTAGAGGGAATAGTTTCTAAGCCTTATAAATACATATATTTTAGTGTGTAACCACATGATAAACAGATGTAAACTGTCACTTAGATACAATCATTTACATTACCAAACTAAAAACAAAACAAAACCAAAAAAAAAAAGAAGGAAAGAAGGGGAAAAATGAGGAACAGAGGATGAGAGCGTGTGAGATTCTCTGCTGGAGAGAAATTAAATCACTGGCCAAATTATTGCGTGATTGCTCATTCCCCAAAGACTTGGGCATCATTTGCTAGAAAGTGTCTAATAATTGGTTTTCGGCCATGTCAGACACATGCAATTCCCTCTACTAATGGCTCTGTTAGGAAGAACTAGGCCTCCTGGGTCAGAAAAGAACAGAAAATAGCCAGATGGCAAAAATGCACCCTACACTCTTGTTCTTTTGTAAATGAAGGAACAAGAGAGGTAAAAAACGACATGAAGAAGGGAAGAGATGGCAAGAAGGAGCAAGTGCGTATGCGAGCGGAGAGGAAATGAAGTGGCAATAAGTGCAGCCAAAGGGGAAATGCTCTTCACCATGAGTTTAATACATCAGACTGGGGATTTGGCAGCCCGCCACACAGCAATTGTTTACCTTTTTGCTCACTGGCTGCATCTGTTCTGTTTTGTAAACGGCACTAAACTATTCGCCCGTAAACACCGGAATCAATAACAACTGCTGAGGGAATTCCCCTACCCCGCCCCTCCTTCTCTTCATCATGTTCTCATCCCTAACCACCACCCCTTTTCCTTCTCCTAGATTTCCTTCTTTCTCTCTTTTCTCTCTATTCCCTGCCAGTCAAGTGTGTGTGATGTGTGTATGTGCATGTGTGTGTGTGTGTATTAGATAGAGAGTGCTGTAGAGCTGGTGGAACCCCAGAGACAAGAAGACAAATGGCTCGCCGAAAATACCTGCTTTGTATCTTTTTTTTCTCTCTTTTTTTTTTGTTGTGCTGCTGTTGTCATTATGAAAAGCTACAAGCTAAGGTGTGAAAATTTTAAACTTTTAAATTTAATATTTTCATTCTTTGTACATTTCCAAGACATATGTCATTGGACATATGACTTTCACTTTAGGGACTTTTGATGAGATGACTACTGCTGTAACATTGATCACAGTAATATGACTTGAGATTTTTTTCTTTTACATTTTAAGAACATCTTTATACTTTAATATCATGTGGAGGTTCTCTTACATAAACATATACTTTTTGCCCTACTCTCGGCATGAGCTCCTCCCTTATTGATTCTCCGTACATTGACCTTCATTTGAACTCTCCTGCCCGTTAGTGCCCCCCTCCCCATTCTGCTCTGCAAGACATGCTATGTACTTTGCTATATGACACACCTGGGTGCTTTTAAGCACACCCTCTCCATCAAGTGGCTATGGGAGCCTCCATTTGGTCTTACTGTTGTGACAAAGGTATAATGAGGTTTAGATGGCTATGTACTAGACTTCAATGGCTGTAGGCCTATTTGGCTTGGGAGATGACTATAAATACCTATCTAGCTCATGGGACCGAGCCCAATGAAAGACAATGCTCAGCACTGCTAAACATCAAGGTCGTGAGCCACTATTTAGAGTTGACTTAGTGAGCAAGTGAAACTGTCGCAGGGTCACAGGTTGATGGAATGAGTGGAATGAATGGTGGGAGAGGAGAGAGGCTGGAAAAGGTGATGCTCCAGATGAAGTGGTCGGTAATAGTTGTGCTCAGATGAGCACCCCCAGAGACAGCAGGGATTGGGGGCAGGAGGGTTGTAGTGAAAGCTTTTACTGAATCAAGTGGTTATCTCCCAAACGTGTCCCTTTTCATTGGGTAGATCAGGTTACTTTTGAATTGTTGGCCATTTACACCCCAACCCCACCCCCTTCTCTGCTTTAAGCATCCGATTTTCCGGTGACTTCAGTAACAGACAAGACTGCTGGTGCGTGTGTGAACGAGCTGGCTTGGGAACAAGACATACTCTTGGGTGTCAGAAAGGTCACTGTGCACACATCCCAATATGATGGTAGTCTCCACAGCCCAGACTCCCATTGGAACCCATTACAGAAAAGCTGCAGTCTCATGCAGCTTAATTACATGCAAACACGAATACAAATACACACTCATTTAAACACCTCAAACAATTACACAGCTATGCACCTGCAGTTTCACACGTTCTTTTACACACATGCACACACTGTTGCATTTAAACCCATAAAACTGCAGACAAAAACAATCTTGAGGTTAGAATATTTTTTATGGTGACCACATCATCTGGTTGCAATGTTGACAATTATCTTGCAAGACTGACATGTGCAAATGAGTGTAGAAGTGTCATCTACAAATCGAGTTATTCATAATGACCCACATTACACGCACATAAACATATGTACACACACCCCAGACACAAATGCACAAAAAAACCTCAGTGAGTCATTCTCATTAGTGCTCATATAAACATACACAAGTGCCCAGACACAACACGCTGAATCAAACCTCATGCATGATTAAATCAGATGTCCTTGGGGACATTGTTGTTGTCATATTGTCAGATTTTGTTTAACAATATAGCAAAATTACATTAGGATCCAGAGGCAATAATGTCCCCATTATTGGAAAAAGACCCCCCTCTTTTTTCCATCTCAGCGCTCAATCATCTATGTGTTTTCAGAGTCAGGGCTAATACTGCGCTCATCCATTCCCAAATGCCTTTGCAGTTGAGAAGCTCATTTAAGCAGACCCACAAAAGTATTTGTGCATGTGTCTCAGCGTATGGCAACACATCTCCCAGCCGCCCATTCTCCAGCTTAATGCGGAACATCCCCTGGGTGATGGCTTTGGCAGCCTCCAAAATGGGAAATCCATATTTGCCGAGGTCATCGGCGGGTTAGGGGAAAAAAAAAAGTTTTCTGCAAAGAGGGAAGGTTGTGCATGTGTGACTTCTAGAGGAACAAAGTTTTGCATATTTTTCCACTGTTGCTTTGTTTGTACTGTGTATTGGGAAAACATGAATGGGTCGATATTTACAAGTGGTGTCATGCGCAGCAAGAGTTCTGAGGGGGGTGTTTGCTAATGAGTGCCTGTTGGCAGGAAGGTTTGGAAGAAAAGTTAAAAAGGGTTGTTTACTTCTTTTTCTGAACACTAAACTGTGCTGCATCTCTGTGAGTTATACATCTGCTGTCTAATGCAATGTTTCTTTTATCTCCTTTTCTCCACCCCCCCCCCCACCCCCCCTGCACAGCACCAATGGAGCTTCCCCTGCAAGGTAGGAGCTTCAATTTGACCTCCCACCAGCTGAGGGCGTTAAACCAGCTGGGTTGTATCCTGCTGAGGTTTGAAGGTGATGCAAAGGAACTCGTTACTAACATGTCCTTTATAAAGTGTACAGAGGATGCTCCTCGTATAAAAGGTACAGTTTATTTATTTACCCCCCCCCCCCCAAATATACACATTTACTTAATTTGGAGAAATTAAAAACAGATAGACATAAAAACATTTATATGATTGTGACTTTATCCAGTTTTCAGGTTTCCTAAATCTAAAGCTACATCATTACTTGTCTGCTTCTAAGCAGCCTCACATACACACACAACCTTACACACACCATTGCTGATTCTAGCATAAAGTCTGTGTTGTGTCTGAAAAATGTGTTTATTAGTTTGGAATTATCTTGGGTATTACATAAGCCGTTAGTATCCTTCTCCTCTTTCCCCTTTGAACTGCCACTGCAGCGATGTTAAATGAAAGCTTTTGGTGCATGGAATAATTTCCATAAAGGTTACATTTACAAAAACAAGACTTGCGGAAAGGCTCAATTTACAGAGAGGTAAACAGGCTTTAAAGGGCAGTTATCCAAATCATTAATTCCAGGCAATCAAACGACTTAATTACCAGAAATTCATCAGATGGGCTTAAAGGTCAAAAAGTGATGTGCTCGCTTCTTCCTTCTTCTTCCATTGCGTGCGGTCTTGTTCTGCTAAATTGCCTCGCCTGGGGTCTTACACTTTGCTTTCTGATTAGGAAACTATGGCCTTGATGTTCATGCTTTTTAATTGAAACCAACTCAGAATCTTGCACACTTGCATTCTTGGCACTTTCATACCATCTTTCCATACATTCACACAATTATCCCTCACAGACTTACTAAATATATAGTTGCAACAATTAAGGTTCAAATCAAATCAAAACTCTAAATTTTGGGGTTTTAGCCTTCAGAACTAAAGCAATAAAGCATTCATAATCATGCCTAAACCTGCAGTTTCTTAAATAAACTGTTTCTTCATAATGAACTGATCCTTAAAAATTGTCATTTGAAAATTCTAACTTTTAGAGGAAAAATACCTATGTTTACAACCTGAAATCAAAAGCTCTTCTGTTTTCTGTCACATATATAACCATTCAAAACAAGTGTATTCTGTTTATGTTTTTTAACTCTCTTGTTGTATTCATTAATTAAAACTTAAAGTTACATATGATGAACGTAACTTTGTGTCTTCAAGGGACATATCAGTTATTGGGTTGGCAACCACCAACTGAATGTACCATCATGTCCTTGAATTGTCAGTCCTATTCATTCTTTGGTTGTTTCTCATTTCTTCAAAAATCCAACTTTGGCCACAGGGTAAATCTTAATCTCAAGGCTTCAAAACAGTAATCCATGGAAACCAATAGGGTGCATCTTTGTGCATATATCATACACACAGCTTCATATTAGGTAGTTGAGGAAATAGGTAACAAATAAACATAATGAACATAATTAATATATATTTATCCACAACAAATTGTAGATCATACAACTCAATTTAGATCAGAATTTCCCTTTTTTGCTGTTTGATTAAGAAAATACCGATATAATATAGATGTAAACATAGCATTTTTATTTTATTTTTAGATTATTATATATTTTTCTGTTTTTTTTTTTTTTTTGCTTCATTGTTTAGGCATCTTGAAAAAGAGTAAAGAGGATTCAAACATGAAAACAGATGACAAGAAACCCACCTCAGGCAGACGTCACACTTTACAGGTGAGACTTTGCAGGTGTCCCTTAAAACTGTCATTCAGTCTCATAATCACCTTTTACAAAGTGGCCAACTAAATAGCAGCAGCAAAATGGAAGAAGTATTCCTCTAGCATTGGATATAATTGGGTCTGTTGTCTTATTATTTTTGCTTTGCAGGAACAGAGTCTAGAGTTTAACTGGAGGTCGGCGTTTAGTGACCTGGTCCCCCACATGGAGCATTGTGTCAAAGTGGTGCTGGATGAAGCTTGTGCCAAGAACCTACAGCAAGAAGAGGCCTTACATTCTTCTGGACACACCGCAGTCAGCCTGAGTCCCATCACTGAGTTTTCTGTCAACAAACATCTTAAAGAAGACTCCTTATGTAACTTCTCAGAGAGAGAGTCTCCCAAAATGATAGCCAAGGTACCGTCTATTTGCTCTTTAAACAATCTTTATTGGAACATCTCAATATGTAATTTCTAAGAGTTTGATTTTTTTAGTAGAAAATCTTGCAATGTTTGAACAAAAAGTGATTTCTAGGATTTTTTTTCTGTAGCTCTCCTTGTTTTTATTTTCAAGCCCATCTGTTGCTTTGCTGACCTTTGCACATCAAAGACAAACACGTACTGCAACCCTGTGTACATATAGCCTCTGAATAAGATCTGAGCTTGTTACTCCTCCTCTTGTGCATGAGCTTGTTTTCACTTGCACAGTGGAGTCCCTGTCTCCTTCATCCTTCTTTATTACTGTCTGAGTGAACAATGCAGGTTTACACACAACACCAAGACCCAGGGAGATTAATGCTTTTTGTCACCCCAGTACAAAGCTCCTGCTGTAATAGAGAGCCCAAATAATTTGGGCCTGACACTGTTGACACCCCGAATCAGAAAGGGCCTTGGGAAGAGTCATCAGTGTTACTTGAAGGGGAGGGTTCCAGGGACAAAAGAGAGACAGGAAGAAACCAAGAAGCAGTATGGCTGATATTATGAAGGTTAGATGATGTGTAGAGAAAAGTTTTCAATGGAGGAAATGGAGGATATAGGGTGTTCTGATGATAGAGGGATGCATCACAATGGCAGAAGTGGCTAGGGTAGCAAAGCAGGATAAAGAAGGGATAGCTTCAGCAAAAGGATGAGAGGAGAGGTCCTGGGAAATGGTGGGGAGAGGTGAAGTAGACACTTGGGATTGACTTTTCTCAGGGAGAAGACCAGTGTGTGATGTGAAACCAGGCTTAGTATCTAACTCCACAAAAGGATCTGCAGTGTTTGGGGCCGGATAGCCACCTACTTACTGGCACTATATCTCTTTAGACTCTTTTTATTTTCATTTCTTTCCCGTTTCTGTAATACTGAGCAAATTGCAAGGATTGCCACTAGCTTTTCAAAAGTTTCTCTAACTTATATTCCTTCTTTCAGCCCCTTTTTTCCCCAGTGTTCTCCTCCACGCTGAGCACTATAGTTACTGCCTCACCTATTTCCTACCCTCCTCCTTCCTCCCTTTTTATCCTCTTCAATCCTTTTCACGCCGTCAGAATTTGTATCTCTAATTGCAAACTAGTGTCAGAATTTATCTGCGCTCAGGAACTGTGCTGTGTACTTACGTGTAGGTCAGCGCTTCAACGATGTGAGCCTTTCAGGTAAAAGGTTATACTTGCATGCATTTACATTCAGAAACACTGAGCCGGAGACAGTCAAGATGAGACTGTAAAATATATTGTGCACATATATATTTTCCCCCACCCTGTTCTCTCTGGCACATGTCCTAGAAAGCAGAGAGCAAAAAAAACTTTTACTGTATGCAGGTTTAAAATATTGCCAGTTGAATGACATTATGTGCGATCAATATTTCACAACTTTATATTCATGATTTTATACCTCAGTGCTTACTTTTTTATGTCAACTCACTTGACGGTTAATGTTACCATACCTATGCTATGACATTTCTCATCCCAAAGAGTTATTTGACCACTTTTACCAGTCAGACAAATGAGTAGCAAATAGCACCTATTCAATAACTGGAATTTGACCCACAAACATTGTTTCTGGGTTCAAACTGAACTGAAGTGCTCATCTGTGTCTCCTCCACATTCTGAGCACACAAACAGACCTACCTGGCTCTTAAAAACTTTATACACTCTGTTTCACCTTGCTACAACAGCTCTGGTGGGATTCCAGACTTTGATCATGGCTGGTTAAGGTTTCAGCCTGTCTTCAGCAGGATACATGTTCGTGATTGTTTTTGTCTGTATGTGTTGTACATGTAATGCTTTTGTTGGTCCTCTTCACGACCCCAGCGTTTCTGAGTAGGTCTGCTTTTTCTCTTTCTAATCTAAGTTCCTGGTGACAACACACAACCAAATATATTTATATATATTTATATATATAATCTCTCCAAATCTGTATTGTTTCAAGGCTACTTTCAAAGTTTTCGCAGACAAAAGTCTGTAAAGAGGATGTAAGCTTCCTTTTTTACCTGAAGCTTGTGATTGTGCATAAGTCATTTAGTGTAGAAATTATGCTGTTTAAAGCATTGGTGTAAAGTAAATTTATTGCAAGCATTTATTTTGTATTTCTCACAGAAAATCTAAAATGTCTCATAACATTCTTATTTCTCATCACTAGCTTTAAACAACTGTTGCACATTCAGAGATCTGTGAAACAGCATCACCCTGTCTCTGTCACTTTGACATAAACATTTGTATTAATTTGAAATACAACTTTTAAAACCTGCACACCTCCTATATGTCCAGGTGCACATACAGTAGAACTGGACACACACACAAACACACGCACGCACGCACACACGCACGCACGCACGCACGCACACACACACACACACAACTACTTTGAGAGTCCAGATCAGCCAGACTCCCTGGCAGTGGAGAGGGAAAGCTGTAGAAATTGCTGTCCCTGTAGGCCCATGTCTGCGACAAACGTGAATAAGTCTTGTTTATTGCTCTGGCAGTTTATAAAATCAGCTGTTGGTCTTTTATAGTGCTGAAGTAGTTCTCTTTCCTTGTCACCTTTTCCTGACCTCTTTCCTACTTCTTGCTGTGCCTATCTCACTACCTCCTTTGTGCTGTAAGATTGTTTTTTTTTATAAATGTGAGTATTGTGAAAAGCACTGTTCTAGAATAACCCCGCCATCCTGATGTCTCCCTAAAGTTTTTTGTTGAGGCCTTGTCTTCAGACATCTGGATTCTCCTCTTGCACTGATTTGTGTTTGCTTTTCAGTTTGCACAATGTTAAAAACACTGCAAAAACTTTTTGCATATATATTGAGATCTTTTTCTGATGATTCATTTTCTCAGCTGACATATTTTACATCTGGTATTGATAGCATGCTGTTTCATCTTTGCCTTCTGTCTCTCCACAGTTCTGTGGAGCAATTCTGAATGAGCTCGAAGCCTTACTACCCCTGGCAGTAGCCTGCAGGAACAGCTCCCTCCTGGGGGTGCGATCAAGTTTTGTGGAGGCTTGTGGCAGAGCAGGGTTTGCCATGTTGGGCCGATTGCAAGCGAGGGCCCTGGAGGTACCATCCTCTGCACCCCTGAAAAACTTGCCTGCTCTGCTTTCTACTTGCATTTATGTACACCAGCGACTGAAGTATTACAACGTCAGGCTGAAGGAGTCGGATGAAAGTTCAGCTAAAATGTAAGAAGGAGGCCTATGCATGCGTTTGTTGATCGTTGGTTGGTTCATGTGTAAGCGTTTACTTTGTGCATGTACTATTTTTTTCAAATTTATTTCCATTTTTGTGTCAAGACCCCTGACTCTACTGCCCCTCCAAAAGTACCAAGAAACAGTTGAGGCCTTAAGAGACCAACTGAGTAGCTATTGTGTCCAGGTTTGCGTCACCTGCATTCTCCAGGATGCAGAGAGTCATGACTGGACTGACCCCAAACCCTTCTATGAGGTAAAGTGTCTACATGTTTTCAGAATTCATAGTCTGATTAACATCTTTCAATCCAAAACATGCCACATCATTCCAAGCTGTTATCTGTTTAGAAATGTGCCTTTATACACTTTTCTGTATTGAGTTGTATTAAGTGAGGTCTGTTTGAATGTTTTTTGTTTACAGTTAAATCACAGAGATAATCGGATCTTGTATTAGAGGATTTTTTTCTTTTGTAGACTTTGACAAACTCTAAGAATTAAACTCTTGAGCTTTCATGCTTCTTCATTTCATTCCCACAATACACCTTACACCCCCCACCCCCCACCACCCCCCACACACACACCTTCTATCTGAGCGTTAAACTCTGAGCTTCCTGAGAACATCTGTGGCTTCGATGTTGCCCTGGGGGCTCCTGGGATTCGGATGTCTGAAATCTGAAGTCTACACTGGGACTGTCTGGAAACAGCATAGCGCCCATGGAACTCTACTGCCTTTATGCCCTAAACCAATCTAAACCTTGCCTCCTCATTTTTCTTTATCCCGATCACCCCCCTCCTTTGTTCTGTCCTTCTTCTCTGGGTCACTGGTGTCAGACAGGCCTGCTGTGTGCAGGTGTGTGCTTTTGTTCAACCACCCCTGACTGCATCTGTACAAATTACACGTAAGATGGTGTGCACAAGAATCACAGGTTTTGGATTTCATTTGATGTGTAAATGTATGTGCAGTCTCTTAAAATTAATATTTTAATGTGTGCCATAAATGCATGCCTCAGGTTTTCATCTCTTAGATTCTCTTTCACATCTCAGTTATCTTCAGAGCATTTTATTATTTTAGGTGTCTGTAGTCAAACTGACATATACATTGTTATTGGCAGAAAAAGTGTTAAGCATGTTAGAGTGAAATTACAGCATGTGAGGTCATTCAAGTTGGTCAGTTTTAAATATAGCTTTGGCTTACATTTGTGTACATTTGTGTATTTATTTAAATAGCCTACTTAACTAAATAACTTGCATGAGTTCAAATGCAAAAAATAAATAAATAAATAAATTAATTAATTAAAAATAAGAAATCTCACATTCAAAGTCCAACAAAATGTGTGCATTTGTTTGACATTTTTTTAAAGTGAAACTTATGTTTCAAAATGATCATTGTCAGTCTCCATTACGTTTTAAAATTTTGAGCAGATTAGGACTGAAATGTTAACAACACACTCAACCAAATTTAGGACAGTGACAGGCACACTCTGTGTGTATGAAGTGATGCTGTTGTTTGTCTTGCAGAAAGAGGTCTGGCCTTGTCTGAAAAAAAAGGGGAAAAATGAGAATTTTGAAAAAGATGTCACTCATGGTACTATTTAGTACATCTCTTTAAAATTCCAGCATATTACTCTGCATTCACAATATCTTCATGCAGATACAAGTCACTCATGCTCAGATCACTGTTGTTAAAGCAGCTGTTTTTTTCTCATGTAAAACCCAATACCCCTTTGTACTAAACGCAGCTGAAATATTGACTCATCTGTTCACAGCACGTCTGTTGTTTTTGCTGTGTGTCTTAGATCACGACATTTCTGTTCATTACTGTTTTGTTCTCCTTGAATGATAAAGTTGGAGATGTAGTTTGCTTGGATTCAATGTACTCGCTTTCTTTAGCTCATAGAAACCACAGTCAGAAAATTGCAGGCAAACCTTAAAACTTAATTCTTGTCATTTTTCCCACTGATGGCCAATACCCAAACAAGAAAAGAAAGAAAGAAAACACAAGATAGGTAGACTAAAACTGGAGAAAAAGGAGAGGTGTTAATGAGCTGAAGACAGGTGGAAGTTGGGGTTTTGCTTTGGATGACTCAGTATCCCTGCCACACTTTCCATCAGCTTATTGCTGGAGGCTAAATTCAGTACGTCATGGCTGGGGGAGTATAGAGCTGGAAAACTGAATGCATCTTTCTATACTGTACATTTCTGACAAAAATGCAGCAATATTGACCCATCTTCACCAATCCTCATGTTTCTTTTTTAAGTCTTGTTTTTTCAAACTTTATTTATAAAAAAAGATTTCTCCTCCATCTCACTCTCTGTATGTGTGCAAGTGTGTGTCTGGCATAGCACAGTTTTCATGACTTTGTGACTTTAATGCAGCTTAAAATCCCCATCGGAGAAGATACCCAGGTGCAGAGTGCAGGTGGCATGACACTAAGACAACCTGGTAGTGATGGCGATGACAGACCCCCCCCCCCCCCCCCCCCCCCTCTCTCTCTCTCTCTCTCTCTCTCTGGCTTTACTTTCTCTTCATTTTCCCCCTCTTACTGTCTTCTTCAATATTTATCTATTTGGGGGTTTTATCTTCACTCTCAGTGGTTCCATCATAACATATCTGCATTTGCAATCCTCTTCTCTCCCATCAACCATTTTTTCCTTTTTTTTTTTAACCCCACAGGGAGAGCGGTGTTCCTTCTCACTGCAGATGTGGTTTTACTTCCTGTGTGGGCTCCGTGGTGACCTGTGGGCAGTCCTTCCTGCAGAGTTGGCCAAGGATGTGCTTGGACAGGTGCTGACAGAGACTTTACAGCTGCTGGTGCAAAGATATGCCAGGGTCTGTGCCTCGTACAAGAGACACCTGCAAATCAGGTATTTTATCAGGTGTTGTACGGACTCTACGTGAAAATAAATGTGTTAGGTTATAAAACAATAATATATCATTTGCAATGCGTTCACATGGCTACTTTAGTGCTTCATGAGTTTTGTTTCAGTCCTTGTACTGTATGTCCCTGATGGAGATTTATATTAGACGGAAGCTCTGTTGATCGGATGAAAAATAGTGTAGATAATTCTTACCCAGTGTAGGGAAAGAAATGATAGATGCTCAATTAAAATCAATAAGTGAATGTTATATAGAAACTGTTTTGTTTTTAGTAAAATCCAACACTAAGCTTTCATATTTTTATGTTTTAATTTTCCCTCTCACTTTTTATGTTTGCCATGTTTTGTTGAAGGTTCGACATCACATCAGTGCTGCTTTACGTGGAGCACCTTCTGTGGAGTGTGTGTGACAGTCCTGAGGCCTTGATGCTGGTCAACCCATCTTCAGAGATTGCCATTATAGCTGGCATATCTGACTGGCCATATCAAATCCACAGTTTGTGTGACCAACTCCTGACCATCCTCATATTTGTCACAGCACCGTTGTCTTTACTGTATAGGTTGGTATTTTTTTAAAATTATTTTATTGAACTTTACATTAAAAAAAAAACACCTGCGTTCTGGGAACCAAGCCATCATAGCTGTAGTGGACTACAACTTGCAACAAGATAAGAAAAAAGAAAGGTATTAAAAAGCAAGTAGAAAATGAGCTCAAAGGAATGCATTCCTTTTTTATTAGTTCATTTTTAGAAGTGTTTTTCAATGAATAATTTGGTGCAAATTGCGAATGTGTATTTTGAAGCTCCTAAGTGTGATTTTTAATTCCTCCAGGACATTTATGATTAACACTTCGAAGAAGTCTACATCACAGCAGCCTGAGCACCCCGTTGTACGCTGGTTAAATGCCATTAACTCTGACCTCTACACAGAACAGGCCATACGGTATGTAAAATACACCCATCGTGCCATCTGTCACCCATCATACAGTGGGCACACATAAAGCTTTTACGACGACTAGCAAAGGCACATGCACATAGTGTGCTACATCAGCTCCTCCAGTCAATAGAGAGCCATGTGGCGCAGTGTGTTAAACTACACCTGCATCCTGCATGGAAAGATATACAACCTGCTGCTCAGGCTTCAAACTAAAGTTGCAGAGTTTAACAGCCACAGACGGAAGGTGAATGAAGAAAAACAGCTGAACTGTACCTCTGACACGGAGCTAAAGTTGATAGAGTTGTGGGAGCTTTCACACAGGAGGAATCAACATACTACACAAAGGACAGTACGCCCTTTTGTCACCACCTTCCTCCCCTCTTGTTCTTCTCATGACCTCAAACGCAATATAAGCATACGCTGGTGACCAGCACCTGTTGTGGTATGTGCGGTCAATCACTCTTGCCTCACACTTTTCTCCACCCTCTCCTTTTCTCAAACCTCTTCCAGCCAGAGCTGCACAAATCAAAGGAACACATACGTTCCTTTTGAGAATTAAATAACTAAAACGTGTTTAATTTTATGGTTTTTATTTTAAACATCTGGTTCTCCATCTTGCTTTGATGCGTGGCACCAGGGTCCTTTAAAAAGCCAAAAGCCAAAGCCAGGCCACAACGGTAATTCACAAATCTTTCCTCGGCCCATTAAAAGTGTAAATGTTATTTAAGGTACCTTTCAAATCCCTAGAGATAAACAAAAAAAAACTTTTCTAACATTCAAATTTAACAAACATTTGATGTTTTTCCTGCATTTTTGTTTTTGTGCTGTCATGCTTTGAGTTGTCTGTTTGCCTTTGCACTTTAGAGTGTGTGTGTGTGTGTGTGTGTGTGTGTGTGTGTGTGTGTGTGTGTGTGTGTGTGTG